ACATACTTCCTAAAGCAGTCCTAGAATTTTCCGCCCAAATTAAAAACAGATTTAAGAGAATTTTCCTATTTTAAGACTTTCCTCAGAGTAAAGTTATCCTTGTTTCAGATGGCAACATCGGTAGAGAAGGCTCCAACAGATACGGTAGCGATCGGTGACGAGGCGCTGAAGGATCTGATGGCTTTGTGCGATGCTGACGAAGAGGGTTGGAAAGAACTTTGGACCGATGACGGGATCGTCTTCCACACTAAGAAAGGCACTGAACCTTGCGTTGTGGATATTATTCGATGCCGTTTCACACTTGAGGTAGGTAAAGGGTTAGAGGTTTGCATCCAGAACAGATCAAAGGGAGTTTTGAACTTGCTTAAAAATATGATTGTAGCAGAAAGTGTATGCTGTTGATTTTTAGGATACCGATCTCGCAACAGTAAAGGCTATGGTTAGTCCATGGCTTCCGTATCGCATTCAATGGGATGACATCTTGCAGGTAAAGTTTATCCAGAAACTTTGAAATCTGCTAAAATATGTAGAAATCTTCAGAGATGTGAACACTTACAAGAACTCGACAAAGGTTACCATATGATACATCATGTAACCAAGAAACGATTCCCACTTTCTTCCAGGGATTCGGTGAGTGAATTAAGTGACCTTACGACCTAAGAAGTGCTTTTTTTCCTTGCTCAGGTGGATGTCGTGGCCACGCAGCTCGAACCGACTCGAGTGCTAATGGTTGCCAGAAGCGTTCCCACAGCTGGACCAGCTCCTACGTCAGATGTTGTACGTACATATCAGCATATCGGTGGATATTGCTTCTGTACCAGTGGTGAACGTATGTTTATTTTTGAAAACTATGGAATATTCAATATTTTTCTGCAATCAATTCTCGAGAATTCAAATGATGATAAGGGGTGTAATCTGAAGGAGTTTTAGCGACTAAAAAACTCAAAAATTGGCAATTTCTGATATACCCTAGACTTCTTGATCTAGTCTTCTACATAGACTCGATTACTTTAAGTAGACAATTATAAATATACTTGAGTTGTAGTATCCCTGAAATCTTCATTCATTAAAAATTTGACTGTATAATTTTCTGCTGCTGTTTCTGGAGATTCTAGTAGTGATCTCAAAAAAATTTAAGAAGCGCTCGATAATCATAGTCAGCACACAGCAAACTTGAGAACAAAGTTCAAAGGGGAGCTCTAAGAGCAAAGGTCATCCTGCGTTCATGTCATAATAACAACCTTGGTTTTTTATTGTTGGTATTGTAAATCGTTTACTAAAAATTCATAATTTTCACATTTTGCTGACCTTGCAGAAATATGTGTGGAGTTGAAGATAACTTTGATCAAGTATTATGTAGCTAGTACATAAACAACTTCTTATCCTTAAACTCTGAAAACTTGAGACAAGTAGACTTGAAGTTAATCTCCTTCAATAAAATTCACTTATGTTTTTT